GGTTGTGTCCTGCACTGGGGGACCCGGCCCCCGGTGTGACCTGTGTGAGGGGACCCGGCCCCTGGTTGTGCTCTGAGCAAGGGGACCCGGCCCCCGCTTGTGTCCCGCACTGGGGCCCCCGGCCCCCGGTGTGTCCTGTGTGAGGGGACCTGGCCCCTGGTTGTGTCCTGCACTGGGGGACCCGGCCCCTGGTTGTGTCCTGTGTGAGGGGACCCGGCCCCTGGTTGTGTCCTGCACTAGGGGACCCGGCCCCTGGTGTGTCCTGTGTGAGGGAACCCGGCCCCTGGTTGTGTCCTGCACTGGGGGACTCGGCCCCCGGTGTGACCTGTGTGAGGGGACCCGACCCTGGTTGCGCCCTGCACTGGGGGACTCAGGCCCTGGTTGTGTCCTGCACTGGGGCACCCGGCCCCCGGTGTGTCCTGTGTGAGGGGACCCGGCCCCCGGTTGTGTCCTGCACTGGGGGACCCGGCCCCTGGTTGTGTCCTGTGTGAGGGGACCCAGCCCCTGGTTGTGTCCTGCACTGGGGGACCCGGTCCCCGGTGTGTCCTGTGTGAGGGGACCCGGCCCCTGGTTGTGTCCTGCACTGGGTGACCCGGCCCCCAGTGTGTCCTGTGTGAGGGGACCCGGGCCCTGGTTGTGTCCTGCACTGGGGGACCCGGTCCCCGGTGTGTCCTGTGTGAGGGGACCCGGCCCCCGGTTGTGTCCTGGGTAGAGGACCCGGCCCCTGGTTGTGTCCTGCACTGGGGGACCCGGCCCCCGGTGTGTCCTGTGTGAGGGGACCTGGCCCCTGGTTGTGCTCTGAGCAAGGGGACTCAGGCCCTGGTTGTGTCCTGCACTGGGGGACCCAGCCCCCAGTGATGTCGTGTTGGAGGAGACCCGGCTCTGGGTAGTTTGATGTTGAGGGAACTTGGTCCCCGGTTACATAGTGTTTGAGGGGACCTGGCCCCCCACTATGCTTGTCATCAGGGTAACCTGGCCCCGGACCACCGCGCACTCACCGAGTGGGCCACGTCTTGCAGGGTGGCGGAGAAGGACTCGATCAGGCCGTGGGGCAGCTGGGAGAGGAAGCCGATGGTGTCCATGTAGATGACAGTCATGTGGCAGGGCAGCAACCCCGCGTGGGCCGTGACATCCAGGGTGGCGAACAGCTGGTCCCGGGGCTGGATGGCGGCGTCGCCCGTGAGCGCCTTCACCAACGTGGTTTTTCCTGGAAGTCGGGTCCCAAGGGGACACGCTACACGAGAGCCCTCCTCACACGGCTCCCCCCGCCCACTGCTGGCCCCAGGCTGGTCCAACGGTGTAGACGCAGGGGGAGAGTGATGGAGGAGATGAAGGGTGATGACCGAGTCAGGGCGTGAACAGTGTGTGTGTGAGCTGGGCTGGGTGTCCGTGTAGACGGAGGGCACTGGTGTAGACGGAGGGGGAGAGTGATGGCGGAGATGAAGGGTGACGACCGAGTCAGGGCGTGAACAGTGTGTGCGTGAGCTGGGCTGGGTGTCC